AAGAGTCAGGGGAGGAGCAGAGCAGCCGGAGCCCGGGAGGGGAAGTGCCCAGCCGGGGGCGCAGGGTCCAGAGGCAAGGGGGCTGCCCGGCAAACCGTGAAGCCGGTAGCGCTCGGGCAGCCCTTTTCATGTGCTGGGAGGGAGGAGGGCGAGTTAGGGCGGGGACTTTGGGGAAGGGGTGGAGTTGGGGTGGGGCCGGGGTGGGAAAGGGGCGGGGCCAGGGCCCCGTGGAATGTCCTCTTTTTTATTTTTTAAATATTGTAACCCTACCCATTCCCCTTTGTTTCAGGGGCACCCTGCAACTCTCTCGCATCTCCCTCCTGAGCAGGTTTCAGTGTGCCCTCCAATCTCACCTCCTCCCATACCAGGATGGATCCCCATTCTCCTATCCCTTACCCCACACCCATCAGCTCTGAGTGCACCCCAATTTCCACTTCCCCATGACCTCCATACCCCTCACAGGAAGAGACTCTCTGTAACCCCCATTCCCCCTCCTACACCAGGGGCTGTGTGCATGCCTCCCTGGCCACTCCCCCGCAACTCTTCTTTCTGTCTGAGTGCTAAGTTATCCAGCGTGTCAACATGTTGCACTCTATGGGGAGGATAGGAAGAGACAAGATGGGGTACTGTTATGCGGGAAGGTGTTAAAGGGTGCCATCAACCTGTTGTTTGTTCTACTGCCAACTGCAGAGGTGTTTGAGGTGGTGGCTGTGCTAAAGAGCTGGCAGGGAAATTGGAGGGAGTAATGGCCATTAATGCCTAGAACATTCCCTGAAATTTTGGAACTAATTGCGAGTGGTGTTTGAAAGTTATTACATTAGACAGACAGACAGGTTGTCAAATTGAATACAAAACCTTTGCAAGCCCAGCCAACTACTCTGCATTGAACACCATTCTCATGATCTTAACTTGCACAAAATCCTAACTCTGACCTCAGTAACATAAACATACATTTATGTTATACTTTAAACAACTAAAAAAAAAAGCCTTTCAGATCATTGTCTCCCCCTCTCCTCCCAATTTACATCTGTCCAAGGTCCAGGAATTGTTCTATTCAGTTTTGTACTAGTGACTGGTTAAAGATCCTTTGGGCTAGAAAGAACAGATTCCAAGCTTCCCTATGGAATGTAGCACTTGATTCTAAATCTGGAAGGGCTTGAGATACTAACCTTTAAAATCACGATTATTTTATCGTCTGCTGTACAGCAGAACTGATGAGAACTAAGATACTTAAATAGAAATAAATACAAAACAGCACCATTTTTTAAAAAAAAGAACTTCTAGAAGTTAGTCAGTAACATGGGGTGCGTGTAGATATACACGGCAAATATGTGGCCTGGTGAAAAAGTTGTATTTGTTTGAGGATAACTTGCATCACTCAATATTTCATCACTTGTGAATAAATCAGATATCCCCAACTCATGCCAGTAAATCCATTTATTCCACACCATCATGTGGTCTTTACATTAAATATAATACATACCCCCATTCTTAAAAAAAAAATTCTTAGAATCGAGAATTCTAGTCAGAGTAAGTCAAAACAATACAAATGGCAAAGACATAAATGTCTTCAAACTTATGTTGGCATTATTTTGCTTTTAAACTCTAAAGACTCCCACCTCTTTTCCACCTCTTGTGTATTATCTCTTACACTCGTATCTAATTGGCACTAATCCGGCAACCGGCTCTGAGCAAGTGGACTCCCATTGACTTCAATGGGGCTCTGCACATGAGCAGGGGTTCACCACAGAGTCAGTTGCAGGATAGCGGTCTCACGTGGTATAACTTGGTGACAGGGATAGTGACTTAGATATCTGTAAAGCACTATGCATGTCTATTGTGCAGGCTAATAATTCTTCATCTGCATAATTAGACCTTTCATAAACATGTCCCAATAAAAGACATAAAAATTGTTTTATAACATTATTATTAATAACTAATAACCTGTACAGAGGTGTTTGCAGAAGAGGCATTTTCTGGGAAACATCCTGACATGTTAAGGGCACGTACATATAGTAAGTGGAGAAAGCTACAAGGCTCCTTGAAACTTTCTGATTAAGTATCATTCTAGTTACTATTTAGTGATTTAACATATAATCTGAGTTATTATTAAAATTAAGCAAACATAATGCAAAATACCTTCAAGATAATTAAAAAAAAAAGTATTATTACATGGCAACTCTTTTGTAGCCAAAGCTCATAAAGCGCTTGGCTCTGCCACTGGCTTGCTATGTGGCTTTGGACAAGTCGCTACCCCTCAGTGCGTCCCACTTTCCCCATCTGTAAAATGGATAGTGATAGTGATCGCCTGTGCAAAGTCACTGAGGCAGACTGATAACAGTATCTAATTCTTAATGTGCTTTCATCACTATATAATCTATTAGGATATTTGGGCACTGGCAGAGGTAAATTAGATTACTGAAAGGCCTCTTCAGGTATGGGACCACTGACATCAAAAACCCTTGCCATCTCACTCAGGCTTACAGGATTCTGGCTAAGGGGCTGTTTAATTGTGGTGTAGACATTTGGGCTCAAGCTCTAGGGCCTGCAAGGTGGGAGGATCCCAGAGTTCCGGCTGCAGCCCAAGCCCAAACATCTATACTGCAATTAAACAGTTCCTTAGCCAGAGTCAGCAGGTTTTTAAATTACAGTGTAGACATACCCTGAGTGGCTTACCTCCAAGGCCTGGTCTATACCTAAAACTTAGGTTGATTTAGCTACAATGCTCAGAGCTATTAAAAATGTCATGCCCTGTGCAACATAGTTACCTCGATTTAACCCACACTGTCAACACAGTCTGGTTAATGGAAGAATATTTCCTTTGATCCAGCTGCTGCCGCCTCTCAAAGGGGGGCAAGGGTTAACTACAGCGATGAAACCCCCCTTCCCCCGCTGTGGGGAGCGCCCACGCTCGGGCTGCAGCCACTGTAGCGCGGACATTCCCTAGTCGCCCTTCCAAACCTGTTGCAGGCCCCCTCCGGCTCCTGGCAGGCTCCGGGCACGCGTGTGCGCCCGGCTCCACCCGCGGGCAGCCCTGGGCTCGGGGACGCCAGGCAGGGCTCGCCACCCAGCCCAGCTATGGTGACAGGGGCGGGGCCTCCACACACGGGTTGCGGAGCCGCCGGCTCCCACCCGCGCCCGGAGCGGCGGCGGGCACCTACCGTGGAACTGGAACCGCGCCGCCGGCTGCGCCCCGCCCCCCGCGCTGGAGAAGCGGCCCCGCAGCGTCTTCCCCTGGGCGCCCCGCAGCCACCAGCGGCTGCTGCCCACGGCCAAGCACAGCAGCCACAGCAGCCGCCCCATCCCCGGTGCAGCGGCACGGGTCCCCCGCCACCTCTGTGTCACGTGACAGTCCCCCGGAGCACAGCTGGAGCCGGCGGAGGGAGAACCAATAGGAACAGAGTACAAGCCACGAGGCGGAGCCAGCGCCTGCCTCGCCTCCACCATTGTTATTCCCCCTCCCTCCTGCAGCGAGAGCCCGAGACTCGGCCCGTCGCCAGGCCGCTACGTGTCCGTTGCTTAGCTTGGACATAAGGCGGCCAACTGTCGTGAAACCGTATTTTACGGCTGCCATGGAGGGGGCGGATGAGAGGGTGGGCATGTTTCGGGGGACCCCTCAGCGTCTGTCCGCTCTCTGCTGGGGGGCTGCCCCTGCCCAATCCATGGACCCGCGCCGCCGCTTGCGCACTCCTCCACCCCCGCGCTCCCGACGTGAACGCGGAAGAGGGCAGTAGGATAGGGTATCACTGTGCACGCGCGGGGAAAGAGGGACCGCTTCGCCCATGCGCAGTGGCGGAAAAGGGGGCGGTGAGACACAACGCCGGGAAGTGACGGCAGGGGGGCGAGCAGCGATAGTGCCGTAAAGCGCGGATGATGTCGGGCGCTGGGGGTCCTGGGGCTGCCGTGGGGTCTTCGGGCTTTGCCAAGCGGCTGCTGGTGACGGGCGGCGCCGGGTTCATGTGAGTAACGGGCGCGGGGGGCGGGGTCTGAGCCGCGAGCCGTCTCCCAGCGACGGCAGTAGCGGCGCTTGGGAGTGGGGCGGGGTGAGTCTCTCCCGCTGTCCCGCCGCTGCCATCCGCCTCCCGGGGCTGGGCCGCGGTGGCACT